GGCCTCCCGCAAAAGTGGCGACATTGTGCGCAATTGGCAGCACACCTGGAGCAAGCAGTACTACAGTAGGGGCTCGACCACAAGAAACCTTCCAGAAGAAACCTAACCCTGAGACCCCAGGACGTCCACTGCTTTGTGGTGTCGAGACCCAAGAAACCCGCACCCTGGAGGCAAGCAGGGCGTCTCTTGGCATGGGTCTCCACTTTAGATCAAAGCCGAGGGCCCAACCACAGGGAGGATTTGGGAAAACCTCTCGTCTTGCTTGACTTCCCCACGACGCGAGGAGGCCTGCCCCCCCCCTTCCTGCAGCTCGTGCTCCACCTCCTCTCCGTCCTCCACCTCCTCCTCCAACTCCTCCTCGACCTTCTCGTCCTCCCCCCTCTCTCCTCCTCGACCTCCTCCTCTTCGTCCTCCTCCTCGACCTCCTCGTCCTCCTCCCTCCCTCCTCCTCCCCCTCAGACGCTTCCGACTCCTGCCTCCGTGTCAGCACCCGCCTCCGCATCCGGCTCCCCGTCCATATCCGCCCTCCTCAACCTCGTCCGCCCCCTCCGTCCTTGTCCTCCTCCTCCTCATTTTCCTCCTCCTCCTCCTCATCATCATCATCATTATTTTCCTCCTCATCAGCCTCCTCCTCCTCCCCCTCCTCCTCCACCTCCACCTCCTGCCTCCTCGTCCTCCCTCCGTCGTCACTCCTCCCGCCCCCCCGCTCCGTCCCTCGCCCTCCTCGCCACTGCGGAGAGCGCTCGGTGTGGGGGGGGGGGGCGCGGCAGGGCGGCGGCGGCGCGCCCCGCTCCGCGCGATGACCTCGCACGCGGCGGAGGTCAGCCTCTCCTCCCTCCCATCCTCCTCTCTCCTGCTCGTCCTGCTCCTCGTCCTCCTCCTCCCCCTTCTCCTCCCCCTGGCTGCTCGCCGCTCGCCGTTCGCTGCTCTGTGCTTGCTGCTCACTCCTCCTCCTCCTCCTCCTCCTCCTCCTCCTCCTCCTCTCCTCCTCCTCCTCCTCCTCCTCCTCCTCCTCCTCCTCCTCCTCCTCCTCCTCCTCCTATTCCTCCGCCTTCTGATCCTCCTTCTCCGGGAAGGGGGAGCGGCCAGCAAGGGTCGGATCGAACGAACGGAGGGGAGAGTGTGGGGAAAGGGGCAGCCGATTCCTCGGGCGCATCTCGGCGCCGGAGGCGCCAATCCATCGAGGAAGGTGTCCTCCGGCGGGGAGAAGCCAGTTTCACGCAGCAGACGTCCTAATCCCCCTTTTCCTGACCCCCTTGTTCGTCCGACCCGAAGTGGGCTAGGCTGCAAGCTGGGCGAGGCGACGAGGAGGCGTCGCGGGGAGAAGGAGGTGGGGAAGGTGAATTTGGTTTGATCTGGGTTCTGGTACTGGAAAGGCGCCCTTGCTTAGTCGGCGGACCGACCAGGAGCAAAGACCAGACAAAGCGCAGAGGTCAAGGTAGAGGTAAAGGTGAGTCCGACGCTGCGGTGGGGGGAGGGGGGAATGAGGAGCGAGGGTGAGGGGACAAGAAAGAAAGAGGAGAGGGAACCTATGCGGACAAGAACGGGAAGCGCCGCTTTGTCCACAAGGCTTGTCAGATAACGTCTGATTGAGCACACCGCGCTGGCGTGCCGCGCTCGTCTGCCGTGCTGGTCTGCCTGGCACGGTGGCAGGACTTACCACAGGTAGCTGGATAGAGGATGGACAGGAGGGAAGGACGAGGGCCATGCGCGGGATACTGGTCCTCTGGCACGGGACATCCACGGACAGTCCTGCGCGCCCTCCCTGCTGCAACTGCCAGCGCTTCTCGCAAGCCTTTGCCGTGGACTTGTTTTTTCAATTTTTCGGCCCAAATCCCCCTGTAGAGGGACATGCCCGACCTGAGGGTAGGGGGAGGGGGGAAGGCTTTTTAGAAGCACCCCTTCTTCTTTGAAGGCGCGGGCCTTGTCTGTAGATGTACGGTGGGCTCGCCTTCCTCCCCCGCTCGGGCGCATGGAATTACCTTCTCCCAACCCACCCTGATCACCGCCACCCCAGAAATAAGTACTTCAAAACCACATCCGAGAAATAATCTCGGGCACCCGGAAAAGTGTCGAAAGAGTGCCGAAAGAGTGGCGAGGCAGTCTCGGGCGAGTCTCCCCGGCCCGGCGAGGTTCGGTACTTTCTGGTGCTCGAAATTCTCTCTCTGGTGATCGAGGCCAAAGTAGGCTGGAACATCATAAGCCTTGTGTGAAGGGGCCCTGGGACACACACATAAATACACACAAATAAAAATATTCCCCATATTTTCTGCGTTTTTGTCTCCCCCCCCACTTCCCATATTTTCCCATACTTTCTGGGGAAATCGACGATGAATTGTGTCTGTGTGTTGTCTTCCCTCCTGACTGTGGCAGGGGCCGTGGGGCGGGCCCTGCTCGCCTTCGCCCCCCACGCGCGGTACCCTCCCACGATCCGCTCTGGAGCGGCAGGGCAGGCTGCCTGCGCCCGCCATCCTCGCACGCCGTGCCCCGAGCGCTGCGGCGAGGAGGGGGCGCAAGTACGGCAGGTTCGTGTCGTGCCGACCCCAGCGTTGGTTTTTGACACCGCAGGGATCGTTCAACCTTGAACGATCGGCCGCTGCCGCAACGTCCGATCGTTCAACATCGATCGATTCTGGGTCGCCGGCGGCGTTCAACCTTGAACGCCCACGCTGGGGTCGCCGCTGGTCGACACGACGCAAACCTACCGTAACTTCCTCCGGCCGCTTGCCGCCCTTGCGAGGGAAACGAGCTCTACACCCCGACGCTCTTGCCGACCCGGCGCTGAAATTCGCACAGGAACGCGGATCCCGGCGTATGCGGGGTCCCTGGCGTGTGCCTGTTCCATTGTTCCCCTTGGACCACGGGGGAGAAGTGTACACCACACCACCCCGACGTCGCCCCCGACCCTCACAAAGTCCTGGGATCGAAAAGCCAGCCCGCCACTGGTATTGCATCAGGGGAACTAAAAGTGACATAAACATATAAAAACTCGAGGTCCGCGCGGATTTCTCGGATCGGCGCTGGATCCCCCCCCCCCCGGCGCGCGGAGCGCGCCAGGGGCGGCGCCGGAGGCGCCGTCAAGGGGGTCCAGCGCGGATCCGAGACATTCGCGCGGACCTCCGAGCTTTTGTGTTCATGACACTTTTTGTTCCTCCCCTATGTATATGCTCCAGTCTCCGCCGGAGGCGCCCATGTATCGAGGCATGGGCCCCTCGGTGGTGCCGAAACCAGCTGCCTGCAGCAGATTTCGTACCCCCCCCCCTTTCCCAGTCCCCCCCCCTTGGCCCAGCTCGAAATTGCGCGCCAGGGGCGGCACCAGAGGCGCCGCCAAGGGGGTCCAGCGCGGATCCGAGAAATTCGCCCGCACCTCCGAGCTTCTTTTTATCTTTATATGCCACTTCTTGCCCCCCTATACGTATATCCTCCAGTCTCCGCCCTCGTGCCTGCCGCTTCGCCTGGCGCCGCGGGAGGCGCGCGCCCGCCTCCCCCTCGCCGCCCACCGCTCGCGAACACGAGCCCGGGCGCGCCCGACCCCTTCGCGCCCCCCGCCGTGCCCGCAGAGGCCGCGGCCGGAGCGCCGCCGCCGACGCCTTGGGCTCCGCGCCCTCCGCCGTTTTGGGCTCGCGCCGACGCCGTTTTGGGCTCGCGCCGACGCCGTTTTGGGCTCCGTCGACGCCGTTTTGGGCTCGCGCCGACGACGTTTTGGGCTCGCGTCGACGCGCCGGGCCCCCCCCGCCGTGCCCGCGCAGAGGCCGCGGCCGCAGCGCCGCCGCCGACGGCGTCTTGGGCTCCGCGCCCTGCCGCCGGCCGCCGCGGCGCGCCCCTCGGCGGCAGCTCCGCGAGCGCGGCGGCGCCGCCCGCCCGTGGCACGCGCCGTGGCCCGAGCCTTACGTCGGGCCTGTCCCCCCACACATACCCCAAGAAGGTCCTCCTCCTCCTCCTCCTCCTCCTCCTCCTCCTCCTCCTCCTCCTCCGCTTCCTCCCCCCACTCCTAGCCCTTTCGATCAGGGTCGGCGGCACCGGCCGTCAGGCCTCTCCAATACCCCAAAAAGGTAAAAAAATACACCAAAAAATAATCCCCAGACCATTTTTTGATTATGTTTTGATGATTGTTTGAATATCTTTTATTCTTCGTCGAAAATCCCCCTGTAGGGGGACACGCCCGACTCAACCCAAGCCGTGTCGCTGAGGACGTTCGGATCGCTGCAGGATGGCATGCGCTCGTGGATACTGCCAGCTCCTCGGCAGCACGCCGGACAAGCTTGGAAAAACCCACTGGGAGCACTTCTACGAAGCTGTGATGCGCGCTCACTGAGGACGAGGCCCAGAAAGCGAAAGGAGAAGCAGGAAGAAGGACGAGGATGGCAAGGAGGATGGAAATGGTGGTGATGAGCGAGGGCGAGGACAAGGAGGGAGGAAGGAGAAAGGCGCGGTGGAGGAAAAGGAGGAATGTAGAACATAACGACGACGACGGCAGGAGACTCCGGCAGTCTCACAGGCCGACTCAAAACCGCGCTGCGAGAGGGCACAGTGGCTCTCCTGAGAAAGGGAGTTCTGCGAGCTTGCGGGCAACAGTGAGCAAAGGATCAAGAGTGGCATGTTCGAAAGCCTGATAACGATAATCAAGAAACCTCCGAAACAAGAACCCGATGGCCTCCAATAATATCCGCTGTCAAACAACCGGCATCGGACAGCACACGGAACACAAAACAACATTAGAGCCTCAAGAACTGGAATGAACATAGCACTGTCGGAGGTCCGCGCGGACTTCTTGGATCGGCGGTGGATCCCGGAGCGCGCCAGGGGCGGCGCCACGGGCGCCACCAAGCCAGGGGGTTGGCCAAGTTGGCCAGCGAAGATCCGAGACATCTGCGCGTATCTCAGAAAGTAGCTGCTCATACTGCTTCCCCGTCTTCGAGCATCGGAAACCAATTGGGAACACATGCCACTTCCATGCTGGGGGAAGGAGCAAGACGCTGCTTCCCCTGAGCGCCGGCCGCCTGCTTGCTCTGGCTCGGCGACTTGTCGGCCTCCGCACACATCCACTCGATCTCCGCCTCGCTGGACTCGAGACACCTGCCAGCGGACCACGGGCCCAGGCCCTAACGGGAGCCAGCTCGTTGCCCGCCCCCCATCCCCCCATCCCCCTGCCCCCCCCCCTCCTCTCCCCCCCTCGCACGCGAGGTGCAACGAATAGGGGGGGATAGGGATGGGGGGACGGGGGGGACACCGACCTGGGATCGGCGACACATCGCCGATGGCTCGGCGACAGGCCTCCGACAGCGAGTCCGCGCCCTCCTGGGCGGGGTGGGGCAGTCGGGGCACCCATCGGCGATCATTGTCGCGATTTGGGGTCGATGCATCCCCCCCCTGTGCCCATCCTCCCCTATCGTTATGTTGTTCCCATCCTACTTAAGGACCACATCCCAAAAATAATTTCGAGCACCCGGAAAACTGTCAAAAGAGTGTCGAAACAGTGTCGGGCGAGCGTCTCCCAGGGCCCGACACGTGAAAACCCTCGAGTTTCGGAACTTCTTTCTGTTGATCAAGGCTAAAGTGGGTTGGAACATCCTTGAAGGGGCCCCAGGACACACAAATAAATACAACCAAATAAACAGATTCCCCATATTTTCCCATATTTTCTGGGTGTCTGTCTTCCCCCCCACTTCCCATATTTTCCGATATTGTCTGGGGAATCGACGATTAATTGTGTCTGTGTGTTTCTTCCCCTCCTGAACATCACAACCCTATCGTTGCCCCCGTGCGCGCCGCCGCGGGGGCCTCCCCCGGGGGCCCAGGCGGCCGTCGCGCAGAGCGGCTCGGGAGGAAGGGCGCTGGCCCCAGAGCAGGGCCCGCCCCCCCCCCCCCTCGATTCCCCCTCCACGGTCCTCCTCGACTGCCCCTGATTCCCCTACCCTCGGCGGCGAGCGAGGGAGGGATGTGAGAAGGAGAAGGCCTTCTCAGAAGGCGGCGGGGCTTCTCAGAGGCCTTCGGGCCTTCTGGAAGGTTTTCTGTGTCTTCGGGGAAGGCTCAGAAAACTTCTCAGAAGGCCGGTGAACTTCCGAGCCTTCTGAGAAGGCCGACTGGAGGCCCCCTCGACTCCACCTCCACGGTACTCCTCGATTATTCTCAATGCTCCTGCTCCTCGATCCTCTTCCTCGGCAGAAGAATAACAATAGTAAGAAGAAGAAGAAGAAGAAGAAGAAGAAGAAAAAGAAGAAGGAGAAGAAGAGAACAGAAGCGGCACAAGCACAAACTTTCGACGCTCCAGGCGGATCTCTTGGATCTGCGCTGGACCCCCCTCCATGGCGCGCGGAGCGCGCCAAGGGCGGCGCCGGAGGTGCCTCAGGGGGGGGGGGGCCGGCGCAGATCCAAGAAACCCGCGCGGAGCGCCAGAAGATTCTGCTTGTGCCGCGTTTCCTTCTTCGACTCCTCGAGCATCCCCCCCCGGGCCTTGCTATGACGCTCGGGTGCATCCCCCCCTGCTTGTGAAGGTTCCTCGCGGCGTCCGCCTGCAGCCGCGGCGCCCGCCGAGGAGGGGGGGGTGGGGGGGCGCGGGCCCGCCACGCCGGCCCCGAGGGAGCGGGGCACGTAGAGAAGAACGACGACGACGACGACGGAGGCGACGACGACGACGACGACGACGACGACGACGCCGGCGACGTCGTCGACGACGACGGCGACGACGGCGGCGGCTCCGACGGCGTCGACGACGACGACGGCAGCGACGTCGAAGACGACGGCGACGTCGGCGGCGACGACGACGACGACTGCGGCGACGACGGCGGCGGCAACGGCGGCGGCTACGACGACGACGACGACGACGACGACGGCGACGGCCTGGCCCCGAGGGGGGCGCCGAGGCGCCAAGGGCTCCCACCTTCGCGCTTCGCGCTGCGCGAAGCGCGAAGTGCGAATAACTTCGCGCCCTCGCGCCGCCTCCCAGGGTGGGGGAGAGGAGGATGAGGAGAAATCGGAGCCCGACCGCGAAGCGCGAGCAACTTCGCACCCTCGAGGGCGCCCTCGAGGCGCTGCGCCCGAAGCGGGCACCGTAAGTGCGTGCTGGTCTGCTGCGACGCCGGGGGCACGCGAGCGGCGGCCGCGGCGGCCGCGGGCAGGGCTCCGAGCCCGCTCGTGCTGTCACAGTCGTTCGCTCTCCTCCTCCTCCTCCTCCTCCTCCTCGTCCTCCTCCTCCTCCTCCTCTCCTCCTCGTCCTCCTCCTCCTCCTCCTCGTCCTCGTCCTCGCTCCTCCCTCCTCCCTCCTCCCTCCTCCTCCTCCCTTCTCCTCCTGCTCCTCCTCCTCCTCCTCCTCCCCCTCCTCCCGCTCCCCCCTCCTCCCCCTCCTCCTCCTCCTTCCTCCTCCTCCTCCTCCTCCTCATCATCATCATCATCACCATCATCATCATCATCATCATCGTCCTCATCCTCATTATCATCCGCATCATCATCATCCTCATCCTCATCCTCATCCTCATCCTCATCCTCACCCTCATCAGCATCCTCATCCTCATCCTCATCCTCATCCTCATCCTCATCCTCATCCTCATCAACATCATCAACATCAGCACAAGCAGCATCATCATCAGCATCATCAGTATCACTAGCATCATCATCATCATCATCATCATCAGCAGCAACAGCATCATCACAACAGCATCATCATCATCGCCACCATCACCACCAGCATCATCATCATCAGCATAATCAGCAGCATCAGCATCATCATCAACAACATACACATCAACATCAACATCAACATCAATATCAACATCATCAGCATCATCAGCATCAACATCAGCATCATCATCAGCATCAGCATCATGATCATGATCATGATCATCATCATCAGCACCAGCATCATCATTCTCATCATCACCATCAGCATCATCATGCTCATCATCATCATCATCATCATGATCCTGATCATGATCATGATCCTGATCATGATCATCATCATCAGCCTCATCATCATTAATATGCTCCTCCTCTTCCTCCTCCTATTTTTGAGGGTGAGAAGCGAGCATGGAGGGGAACCTCAATGGGGCGAACGGCTCAGGGTGGGGAACACGTCGAGCCGGAGTCGGCGACACGTCGCCGACAGATCGGCGATGGGCCCCCGACAGCGAGTGCGCAACGAACCTCGGAGGGATGGCCTATCGGGCCCCCGTCGGTGATGAAAGGACGATTATAGAAGAAGAGCAAACACATAAACATAAACTTTTGGCGCTCCGCGCCTGAGGCGCCGGAGGCGCCGCCAGGGGGCCCAGGCGCGGATCCAATAAATCTGCGCGGAGCGCCAAAAGTTTATGTTTGTGGTCGTTTCTTCTTCGAGGTTAGGGGTCGATGCATCCCCCCTGAGCCTATCATCACCTAGCCTTGCCCCCGAAAGGAGCGGTGAGGGAGCAGGAAAAACGGGGAGGAAGGAGTCCCTCCCTCCCGCGCGCTCTCCCCGTTCGTCGCTCCTCCATCTCTCCGTCTCTTGCCCCCTCCACACTTCCAATCGGACCGATGACAGATCACCCTTCGAGAGCATGAGACCCTCCGCCAGCCAAAACACGCAGAACATCCAAGGGTACCCTCCGCAGGATGCACGAGACCATCCAGAACATCCAACAAACACGAAAAATGCTAGGTCACCCTCCCCGAACCGACCTCGATCTTACAACTCGGTCCGACTGTAGAGTTAGGTCGGGCATGTCCCCCTACAGGGGGATTCGGGCGACAAATGTAAAGCATAGTCGAACAATACACCAAAAATGTTCAAACATAGTCAACAACATCGTCGCCAGACTATACTTTGACTATCTTGGGATGTTCCTCCTGTAGAGGGACACGCCCGGCGTAGCTGTAGAGGCACGCTGCCAGATCTCCCGCGAGGAGCCCTCGGACCAGCGCTCTGGGAACCCTCCTCCCCCTGATGCGCGCGGGGGCCCTCGGGCCCCGCGCCGATCTGGGAGAAGTCCGCGCGGACCTCCGAGAGGTGGAGGAGGAGGAGGAGGAGGAGGAGGAGGGGGAGGAGGAGGAGGAGGAGGAGGAGGAGGAGGAGGAGGAGGAGGAGGAGGAGGAGGAGGAAGGAGGAGGAAGGAGGAGGAGGAGGAGGAGGAGGGGAAGGACGAGGAGGAGAAGGAGGAGGGGGGGGTGGAGGGGGGGGCGAGGGAGGAGGGAGTCCTCCTACGGGCAGATTTGGAGAACAAGAAAAAAACAGCACAACCACAAAACATAGTCAAACATGCAACAAAAAGTCGTCCCCAGACTATGAGTTTGCTGTTTTTGAGTTGTCTTCCTGTAGAAGGGGCACGCCCGACTTGACCGAGAGGTCATGATTATGTTATGTCGGGCGTGTCCCCCTTCAGGGTGATTTTCAACGGAAAATTAAACATACCCCAACGATACACCAAAAACGTCAAAAAATATTCAAAAATAGTTCCCGGAGTATTTTTGGACTATGCTTTGACTATTTTAACGTATTTTTCATTTTTCGTCGAAAATCCCCCTGTAAGGGGACAGGCCCGACTTAATGACTGTGCCGTGCCATCGGGGGCGCGCGAAACAACCATGGAGCTGGCGCGCGGTCGCCTAATCCATGGATCGGGGACAGCGCCCCTCCCCAAATGCCGCCGGTGCCGCCTCGTTCGGCGGCGGACATCCCCGACGCTAATCCGCGCCCCCGTTGATCCATGTTTGCGATCGCCCGATGTCCCTCCTCCCCCCTTTTGGCGGCGCGCACAAGGGGGCGGAGGGAAGGCGGAGGGCTTCTTAGAAGGAGGCTGCTTCTTAGAAGTCGCTGGCCTTACATCTGTAGACGAGGCCCGCGCCTGCTGAGAAGCAGGGGTGCTTTTGAACCCCCCCCCCCCCGGCTGCGCGTGGACGACCCTCCCCGCGCCAGCGACGGCACTGACCCCTTCCGTCGTGGAGCGAGCGGGCCCCCCGCCCCCCCCCCTCGCCTCATGTCGGGCCTGTCCGTTTACAGGGGGATTTCCGACGAAAAATGAAAACATCCCCAACAAACAATTAAAACAAAATACAAAAATAGCTCGGGAGCCCACTTCGAATCCAACGGTCTCATGCCGTATAGGAATGCTGGATTCTTCGATACCGCGCGTGGCTTTTTTGCGCGCCTACCATCGCGTTCGAGATGGACTCTGCCAGGGTCCGATCGCTCCGACTCCACCCCGCACTCATTTTCTACTATCCTCACAACGTCAAACCCAGGGACCATGATACTCTCGCAGCCGTCACGTCTCGCACATCCGAGTACGCGCGCAGGTTCACAGGCTCTTGAGCGGACCGCGCGATTCCTTTCCCGTACATGCCCGAGAGTAGCCGCGTGATGTGGCGGTGCGCCACGTACGAGGCGCTACGCCCTTTCACTTTCTCCGCTAACGCATGGTGCCCTTTCCTACACTCTTTCACCTCGTTGAATGACGACGCCAGGCGCTTCGCCCGATAGGCACAGCGCGCGCGCTGTGCCACGAGCACGATATCTTCCACCTCTGCCCCGTCCCAACACTTCTCTGCGCGCTTCCCTGTCGTGCGTCTGCTCCAGAATTGGGAACCTGCGCGGGAGTTGCACATCGGAGTTGAAGTTCAATCCGAGGCCGCCGCTTAACAGTGCAGGCAATGTCCCGTTCAGGCTCTCTTCATTCTGTGGCCCGTGTAGGCAGCCAGTCATATCTCTCCGCCCCCCGCACGGCATGGAACGATTCTTGAGAAATCCTGGGCGCGGGAGAACGGTTTTCCCCGCCAGCCATGTCGTCCGAGGGAAAGAGCTCTTGCATTTCAGAGGGTCGCCATCCCGTTGACAGTGGAGCAAGGGCGCAAATTTAGAGCGCCGGTGACTTCACTTGTGCACGTGGTTCTGACGGTTGCCCTGGCCCCTTTGCACACATTTCAAATACTTTCGCAACCTCCATTTCGAAGCGCTGCCCCTCTCAGACTCTTGACCAACCTCTTGGGCCCCCTCTAGCGTTCGCTGCACCTCCGCACCGGTCTGCTTCAGATACGGTTCTGCCTGAATGAACTCTTCCGTGCCCTTGCACGCAGGCCATGATTCTTCCATGTGCTCTTTCTGCCTCTGCCATTCCGCCACATTTGCGTGCACTTGACGCGACGAGCCTTTTGAATGCTGCGTGCCCGTCTATCAGACGCTTGAACTCATCTGGGGGAAGGCGAATCATCTCGTGCAGCGGCGTGTGCTGATGGAGACATGGGAAAAACAACTGTGCGTGCAGGCGTAAACTTCCCGCGGATTTCTGAGCTTCTATGGGGCCGTGCACGCCGTCCACTCGCCCCGCGCAACCGCCTGCCAATTTCGCGTTGCTACCTGCCAGATCCGCGCAATCGCAGTCGGGGCACCGCGGACACCATCGCATCCCGAACAGGTGCTCCAACAACAGGCCTACGATGGTGCGAAAGCCGTCTACGCCCGCCAGTGGGTCCCGTGCCAATCACTCCAAACGCATCTTGACCGATGCAACGTTTTGGCATAACGACTCAATGGGTATCGCCATGC